AATAATGAATCGACATTTATTTTACTTTGTTCATTCGTTTCAGATCAGCTGATTAATACAATCAACAATACGATTCGATAATTAAGAGAGTTTCGAAGGCAATGTACATAAACATACATACAGACGTTCTGTTTGATATTCAATTTCAACAGATATATCAATTATCTGGGCGAATACGAATTTGAAAGCAACTGGTTAGAATTACATTAGTAATATTCAAAGTTATTTATTAATATTTATTTTTATTCGTCTGTATTACCCAAACAAGTTTATCGACTTTACTTTATGAATAAATTTATTAGAAATGAGATTTTCGTTGAAATTTTAAGAGATTTAATAACGAATTTTTCTTATTATAATAATGTTTCCTCGTGTATTTTTGTATATTAATTATTTAAGATTTAATTAAAAATAAGGTGATAACGAAGGCGACGTAATAAAAACGCAGGACATAGTTCCAGTTAATTAATCAAAAATTAAATAAATTCGACTTAATTAGATTAAAATGAATCTGATAAACTGGTAATAACGTTAATTATTATTTTTTAAAAAATTAAAGTGATGTTTCACTTTTTATCATTTTATAAACTTGAAACATCGAGTAATAGAATTAAAATTAGAAAAATAAACTTTGAAATTTTTACTCTGATATTAATAAAGAAATGAACTTATAGAAAATCAAAGCTTGTATCGTTTACTCAAATGAAATAATACTTTTATATAATAAATAAACCAAGTATTCGTAATTTTCTTTTAACTTATTAACCATTGAAAAGTGACAAGGGCCTTAATTCATTTAATGATATTTACTGTCGACATTCTCAAACAAAATTATTTGAACAGCATGTGCAAATACTGCATAAGGAAGAGAAGTGTTATTATATAATATGCTGTAATTAAATATTATAAATGGTTCTAACAAATTGGCATCTATTATTAAAAGGAAACTCACTCGTAAGTGAAACATGCGGTAATATTTAATTTCTAAAATAAATTATTACGTTATTTAAAGATTTATTTTACAAATGATTTAGTGGAAAGGTTCGTAGAACTCCTTTTTACGCGAATTCTTTTACGTCTGCTCAATCGATACGAACTTTCACGTATGAAATTATATTAAGGCTTTAATGTCAAATATGCAACAAAACAATTTCTTCCTACAGAGTATGGAATTAAAACAGAATAATATTTCACTCATAAGTACTAATGAGCGTAAGAAAATAACCCATGACATTTGCTACGTCACTGAAAGGCCGTGTTGTTTATTATGCCATTTCTTAATGATTATGATGAAGAAACAAATTCATCTTTCGAGAGAGTGTCCCTGCATTTGAAAATTTAATTAATTTTTAATTTGGATCGACATAAAAGTGGTTCTGTAACATCTTAAATTCAATCACAATTCGTAGCCTACGTAGACTAATTGATATAAATGTTTTCGATTACTATTTATAAAAAATATCAACCAATAAATTGATATATTTCCTGTATCAAAAAAATTTTAAATTCTAAGATTAATCTTTTCACTTTGTATTATGTAATTGCATATAAACAATAGCAAATATATTAGAGAAATTTTAAAAATAACAGTAAATAGTATTAGATGAAATAGCGTGTAAAGATTTAAATGTTTTGAGAGACAGACAAACTAAAATAATAAAAAAAAAAAAATGGAGAGAATTTCTGATTAAAGGCATTTACAATCACGTTCTTTATCCCAACCATATATCCTAGTTGTCATGGATACCAACAAATGGTGATGTATGACGTAAATCTTCAGAAACATGCTAGGTTTCAATACATACGTTCTGGATGGAATAGAATCGGATGACAAATATTTGTTGATGAAGGAGAAGGAACGATTCGTCTTTAATCCAATCACTTCCATTTTCAGAAAAATAGAGAGAAGAGAAAAAAGAAGATTTTTCTATAATTGTTACATTTAAAACTCAAACAGAAATGGGAATATGAAATGGAAATAAAAAAAAAGTATATTTATCATCTTCTCATTACTACTTTTAAGTCCACAACTGGGTGAGTTAATAAGATTTCCTGCAGTGGGTCAATTCACGTGCGAGGCTAGGGTTACACATCATTAGTAGCAACGAGGCTAAAATTAAAGATGTCATAAAGATGTCATATGCAGAAAATAATGTTTTATGGACAAAAATGGAAAATTATGAAACTTCAATTAACACTTATAATTACACATAAACAAATTTAAACATTCGTTAAAAGAAATCATAAGATTTATTAAAAACTACAGAAAATAATACTACAAGTCGGTTATATTTTTAATAAAATAATAAATAAAAAAATTCAAAAATCATTTTAAACAAGCAGTATTAATATTGTAAATTCATGTTGTGGGTTTTATTGCATTTATATAAATGTAACTTATGTAAAGTAGAATGATTAAAAAATCAATCTATATATTACTCAAATAATGCATATAGAATTTCAATCACATTTCAGATAATATTACAGTTTAAAATTAGCGTGAGTACCATTGGAAAATATAATAAAAGTATTCCATCTTACACGTGGAATACTAGAAAATATTTTGGCCAATGAAAAAGGTTTAAATTACTGATCTATTTTCAAAAAGTTTTATTTATTTTTTTTTTTAACTTTAACTAAATTGGAGTATAATGTATTTGAATATTTAAACACGTTTTATGTTATAAAACAATAAAATAAATGCTAAAAATTTATTTCAATATATATATATATGTAAAAATTTTTCATCCTAACGATAGGTAATTTTTAAATAGAAATATATATAAAATAATTGATTGAACATGCTGTAAATACTTTCTGAACGATGACTTCGTAATTGTTTCCATCTCTTCAACAGGAGAATGTCAGACTACCTTGACAACGTGTCTTATTACAGCATCTATTGACAACATGACATAGGTTGGCATAGCAACGGAAACAGCATCTCCATCCCAGCGAACAAGAGGAACATGAAGGAAAATTCTTTAAATAGTATTTCAGAAGACATATTTATCTTTATTTTCCAAACATTTAATTTAGTGAATCTGTATTATTATCTCCGAAAATATTCAGAATAAAGGAGTTTAAAAGGAAACGAGTTGGGGTACTGTTTTTAAATTAATTATTGTATTTTTTTATAATCGTTGCTTATTTTATACATAATGTACAGTACACTAGTTTGAGGTTATTAATTTCTTTCGTTTTTTCCCCTTCTCATTACTGATTCAAGTGATCTTAAACAACAAGCGTTTTGTCAGAAATCACGTTACCATGACGACAGCCACTTGTCAACTCCATCCTTTAAACTGGCGAATGTCATCGTTGATCATTTCAACTATATTCAACTTGCAAGATAACGGTATAACATTAAAAAATTGAAAATCCTTTTAATAGTTAAGTGATTTAATTATCACATTTTTCAAATTAATATAAATCATCATATTTATGTAAGGGGAGGAACTTCTTAGAAAAGTAAAGCTCATTTTTTTACTTATCATCATTAATAAGAATATAACGTAAATGTTAGAAAGGCCGTTTTCGCAAGTTGTTTATTTGCACTGTCGCTCGTGACATACAATTCCATTATAAATCTTTCCTAATATAACACATGGATATATCTCGTCCGAGATTATCATCATTGTTTAATATTTAGTTTATGACGAAATAAAACCCACCTAAATTAAATATGGTACGTGCTAAGCTCGAAATTAATTCGTGAGTAATGTTTAAATGTTAAATAATACGAACTTTGAACATTTTACAGCTTAAATTTATAAAATAACGAGATTAGAAAAAAAATACAAATATACAAATGCAATTGTATTCGAAGAATATAAAATTGAGAAGATGAATCGGATATTAAAAAAATTAATTGTAATAATTTTTAAAATATATTTTAACGAAGATCATTTCTTTTGAAAACAACACCGAAGCTAATAAAATCTATGAGTAATCTAACCAGAGGCGAATTATATAACAATTTATAGATTTGTAATGCTTTATTCTCCAATTCCTTAAATAATGACTACGATTGTTTAACAATAACAGCGAACTGATCTCAAGTACTCGAAATAAAATTTTAAATAAAAAAAAGAAGCATTAAATTGAAAAATGTGTTAATTCATCAATCGTCCTACGTAACTAACGTGACAATACATTGCTTATCAGTATAAACACAAGTGAAGTGGTAAGTTATTAATGAATAATTCATTCTAGAGAGGTAAGAGTCAAAGGGGCCAAGTATATTATTGATAACAGAGCACATGTTCATTTTTTTTCCTTTTCTTTCTTTTTTTAAGGAAAATTGACTATGAAACATACGTCATGCAATGTATATATAGGCTATACGTGTGTGTGTATATGTAGAATTAAAATAAATATATATTTTTAAACAGATTTTTTATTTTTTTAAATTGTGAAATATTCCACATTTATTCATAGATTTATTATGCTAATCACATATCAAAATAATAAAATAAATATTGATGAAAATCATGCAGAGAAATTCATAAAAATCTATTTTAAAGATAGAACATGCACAAAATTATTTTCAAAATTTAAAAAAAAAAAACACATTTCAATTTTGATTTAAAAGAAAAAAAATGTGCATTCCAATTCGAATTTTTTTAAACGTGTACATTTAAAATTCGAATTAAAAAAAACGTGTCCATTTCAAATTCAAATTTTAAAAAATGTGTCAATTTCAAATTCAAATTTTAAAAAATGTGTCAATTTCAAAAAAAAAAAAAAAAAACAAATAAATAAATTTTAATTTGTTAATTTATATTAAAACAATTCGAATTCATTATTTAAATAACATACGAGGAAAAAAATATATAAATAAATAACATTTGAATCGCGTTGTGTAAATAAACAATAAAAAAAAATGGAAGAGGGGGAGGGAAAAAAATCGAATTTTCGTCGTCTGCTATTTTCTGCGGGACAGTCGCGCACATGATGTAGACAAAACCCAAGTTATAAAAGCAATTTAAATCAATTACCTGGCATGGGTTCGTCGTCGTAATCTTCGCTGTCGCTGACGGAAGGAACTAAAGAACGACTTAATCTTTCTTCTCGTAGTTGATTGAAATAATTGGCGGCGTATTCTAATATGTCGCTCGGCCTTTCCAACAGAACGTTAACGGTAAAATCCAAAAGCAAATTGGTCAATTCGGGCGGCACTTCGTATCTCGCGTGGCTCATTGTTTTATACTTTGATTTGTCCTTCGTTAGATATTTAAGTTTAAAACCGATGATTTTTTTTCTTCCTTCTTTTTCTTACTCTGTAATAATTTTCCACTTGACCATCGCCATCCACCAGATGATCTTCACTCCCAAACCCGCTTCTTCTATCAACCAATCAGAAGCGATCACGACGGCAGCGCCATTTGCGGTCGTATTCTAAGCGTTCGTTATCGTTTAAAATTCCTGGTAAAAATTCGTGCGCATTTTTTAAAGTTTATACGTAAATATTTAACGTTAAACTATTTTTTATAAAATTTGTTTTAAATTACTGTAAGTGTAGTTAAAGCATTAATTCGAACGACAGATGGCAGCACAAGTCGAATCCAATTTTTTTCTGTATTATCTCGCGTGTATCTATTTCGCGTATTTTATAAATTAAAACCGATTAAATTCCATTCTGGTGTTTTATATAAACACAAAACTCTTATATTTAACACTGAGAGGATTATTTACGTAGATAAATATAAAAAATTAAACTTGAGCGCGGCGCCATCTGTGGACGATTCGAGTAACGATTGTAAACAATATGATCTATTTCGTATTGTGATTTAATAAGTATAATCCAACCGAACCTTTAACACTAGTAAAAACTGTAATTTTGATTTAAAACCGCTAATTTAACCTTCGATCTTATAAAACAAGGGAAACGTAATGCAATCTCCATAAAATCTAGACGTTACTGTACTTAGTTTAAGAAAGCAAACAAGGGATTATATAACATTTTTGTTTTATTTTGCCTACGTATGATGGCTTTTAAATATCGATTGAACATAGAAAATCACAAAGTTTGCCAAATTATTCCAATTCGTATGTAGCGTGTGGCAATAATTCATTTTTCTTCCGCGTAATGCACGACACGCTATATCTATGGCCTTCTATATATTAAAAATCTATTATTGCACATGAAAAATGTACACACATATTCCCTTCTATTATCGATTTCGTTCGGTCTATGGATGCAGATCGGCGTTTAAAAATATAAAAATTTAATATAGCAACTATTATTTTCGTATCCCCGAATGAATTTCCTTTTCTACACATTAAAAAAAAACTAAGTAAAATAATTGCAATGTACCCAGAGCGTGGCACTGCTTTAGTATGACGTTACCATAGTAACTTCTATAATCGATAACCAATGATACACGAGTAACCGAACATTCTTAATTTTAAAATTAACGGAATAATGTATGTGTTAGAACCTAATTTCCCCTAAAACCTAACGCAGAAAAAACGGGGAAAACTTATTTTCTTTGTATTAAACTAAAATACAGTATCATCATCATCCATAGAAATGCCTGTAATGTATAGTACAGTACAAAGAATACAGTACTTACTATGATCTTTAGGTACAAAGTGGATAAAACTTCTAAAATTTCATTACTGTTAATTAAATTCTTTTTTATGTACAGTACAGTACTTATAACACTCCATTATTATAAACTAACACATATAGATATATAGGTTGTGTGTGTGTGTGTGTGTGTGTGTTACTTAAATAAAAATTAAAAAATAAATAAAATATACATATCGAAAAATGTGTCTGAAGCTTACTAGTATTTTTATTATTTATTTTTTCTCATGTATAATAATGATTAGATTATATAAATATCTTGTTAGAGTCAGAATCTTCCTCCTTCGATTTAATCACAGATCAGCTCAGATTCAGATACAACTTTCTTCTTTCTTTATAAAAATTATTTAATATATATATATATTTTTTTATAAATTTGTTCTGATTATTTTAAAATATTTAGCATCAAGTATTGTTTGTTTTCTTTTCCTTTTTTCGTCAGTAGGCTTTCTCCTGTTAGATTTATCGATAATTTAACTGACAAGAATCTCTCATTTGGCAAGCAGAACTCTGGATTAAAAAGGTAATATCACAAAGCATATACTATTTAAATTTACTGTAATTTAATGCAACCATCCTAAAAAAATTTCCTTAATTTTATATATATATATAAATTCGTGAATTCGACACTTCAATAAAGTAAATTTCCAGTTCATAGCTATGTTGAATAGTCACTTTATTTGGAGCCAGATGCAGAGTGGCAGTTTATTAGCAATCGTGAGACATAATTACATGAAAACAGCCCTATTTCATTTGATTATTATTCGAAATTATATTATCAAAGCTAGTATATATTTCTTTTTTTTTTTTTTTAAACTGTTAATTGTGTTTATAATTTATAACATGGATAATAAAATTAATGCGGACGATTTAAAAAAACATTCAATTAATTTCAAAAAACAAAAATGCTTTTGTATATTTGAAATATAATATTGTCAATATTCCGAATTTCTACATTGCCATGGTTTGTCTTGATGAAATAACAGATATTTTTTCTTTTTTGGATGAGGAAATATTGATTTATATTTTACAAAATGGACTGTGCATACTTACCCTTCAGAAGGGTATAAAAATATTAAAAGAAAGAAAAATCAGGCGTTGCAAAAATACAACTGTGATAATAACCAATAAGCCTGACTCTCGATGAGCAAGCAGATTTTATGATTGGACAACAGTTTTCTTTGTACTCTGAATCCACATATTCACAAATGGATATTAATTAATTGTGTCTCAACCTTCGTATTTAAGAGGTACAGTTATTAGAGAACTGTTATATCCATTTTAATGAAGTCTTTTGCCTATGTTAACTTACATTATTACTTTACACGTATTTTAACACAGTAGAGTACTTTTAAAATTTTATCATTCGGATAGATTATGACATTCACGAGAATTAATCAATCCCCATGCACAAAGGACTCGTAGGACTAGTCAGAGTAATAATAACCATAGAATAATCTTGCACAAAGCAATTATTGTTCTTGGTATTTGGGTATGGTGCTTATTTCATGCTTGATTATATTTTTAATTGACTGATATTTGCATTTTCATCCTTATTCGTCATTGCTGGAATCACCAGAAAATCCTGTAGATTCACCCGTAACTCTGCACCGGTGCAGAATAGCATTTTCGTAGGCTTTCTTTACAGCTTTACGTTCAGTTGGTTTCTTAGACTCCACTAATCTTGCTTTGTCTAGTGCTGTATCGACTCCTAGTGGTTCTAATTTGTTTCTTGGCAACCATTGCCTGCATAAAAGTAATAAACACAAAGTCACATTTTATAAACATATCAATATATTTAAGTAAAGTGTAATTAAAATAATTTTTTTTTATCTACATAAGAATAGATTTTATCACATTGTAAATATCTGCTCCAATAAATTATTAAATTCTAAGTAAGATAAAAATTTCTAATATAAAACATGAAAAAAAATCAATTCTCAGTAGACTGTACAAAAAATATTAATTTTTAATAAATATTTTATTTTAATTCTAATTTAAAGCAAAGTAGTTAAATTTAAAAGTATCAACAATTATATTACAGTCGACCCCCCTATAATTACGGTCCCTATAGTTACGATTCCTATAAAACTACGAAAAAATTGCTACCGGTATCCGTAAAAAATAGTAAAAGTTCCCTATAAACACCTCAAACGTCATCGGGAAGCCGAACTACTTTCCCGCCGTCCGTAGCGCCACGCTACGGAGAGATTTCTATCGTCTGGACAGTATTATATAAATTATATATAAATTAGGTACTGTACATATAATTATATATTAATTATATATAAATTAGGTACTGTATATATAATTATATATTAACTTATTGTAACTTTGTTATAATTAAATATATAATTTCCGCCGTCTAGCGTGGCGCCACGCTACGGAGATTTTTACGCTAACTATCGTCTGTCAGTATGTAAATTAGGTACCGTAAGTCTAATACAGTACTGTAATTTTATACATTTCTTGTGAAAGAAACATTTCTTATTCAACGGCGATTAAAATTATTTATATTAATGATGTCTCCGAAGTTCTACGAAGTTTTCACAGAAAAATAAGTTGTTAGAAATCGGCCGCTCTTTGCTGAGCTGTTCCGCGACGAAAACAATGTTGAGCAATGGCAATGTCGAATGGTGACACTCGGTAAGTAATCCTACAATTTTTTGTTTATAGCGTAGTTTATACGGATTATTCCCAAAAAATATATACGTATTTTGGAAATGTTGAGTCGGATTAGTCTAGAATCGATTAATTTTATGGAAGAAAATCTTTCAAACAGCCGTAGTCCGTAAACTTGATACGTGTCGGGTTGTGATTGGAAGGATTCGTAAGAAAGCGGATTCCTAGAGAATGGAACGTATCTCTATCTTATAGGGGGGTCGACTGTATACATTTAAGTAAAATTTTTAGCATCTACTGTCCAATCAAAGAACAGTGTAAAAGTATGCAACAAGCAATTATTTATTGTGATATTGTCACAATACCAGGCTGCTATTTTTAATCATGTTCTTAATTTATTTAATTTAAAATATTTGCTCTCTATCTCAAATTATTAGTGTCTTGCCCCTATACCTCACACTTTTCTTGTTAACAACAGAGTCGTGCTGGCCATCTATGTAACTTTAGGGGAAAATTTTTGAATCAAATTCACAAGATTTCCAGTCCAAACCAGAAGTTTGTATGCAGTTAATCGGGGTCTCCTGCCCTACTCTTTTCATATTGTCTTGACTTTCAACTATCTAACACTGTTCTCAAGATTAAAATAAGACAAACAGACAGACAACAGTGAAAATTTATAGGTCTACAATTTTTTCAAATTATGGCCCAACTAATAGACTGTATTGTTTGTAGACTGATAGATAACATAATTTAACTAAATATTTTTTCAAGAGTGTTCTGAAACTTCTTAAAGGAGAAGAATTTAGTAGCAAAAAGATTAAAATGATGCCATTCTATAATCTATGAAGAACAATGACATAAAAGCAACAGGTTATGTCACCAAAAGCTGATATATCATTGAAATAAATCTTCAAACATCTTTAAAATACAATAAAATATTTGTTTAAGATTTTTATGATTACTTTAGCTCATCTTCAGGGGTAACACATTTTGTAAATATTTATATTTCTTTAGAATATAACATTTGAGAACATTTAAAATATCCAATTTTAAATTTTTTCCTGTTCAATACAGCAAAAAATTTTGCTTCACAGACAATTTACTTTGATCTTCTCTCTAGGAGCTTAAATACAACAACCTTCTTAAAAATTTTAAATTGTACATTAAAAAAAATATTCTGTCTTTAATGTAATGTCTAAATAATATTTTAAAGATATATAAATGTTTAGAAACTGTTACTACTGAAGATGAGCTAAAACTCAAGAGTGTTTGGAATTTAGTTTTTAAAAAAATCAGCAGTTAATTTTCTCCTTAAGAACTTAGAAATATAACAGTTATTAAAATAGCATAATGCACAAATCATATTTTATTAAAACATTAACATTTGAAAATACTTCAAGTTAAAAACTGAACAATCAAAATGTAACAACTATTAATCAAACTTTTCTTGAACTAATGTCTATAGTAATTTCTTTAAATCAATGATCAGTAACCTTTTCTGACTGCAGGTTGCAAGTGAACTTTGTAGGCTTCTGATGAGGCCACATGCATTTTTTTCCTAAGGAATTGCAGGCCTTAAGCCTGCTGAGTACTAACATATTCCATAATTCTCAGTACACTAGGTACTAAAATAGTGTAGTTAACTGATATGTGAAGTTAGTTTAAATGTTCTTTATTATGAATATCAACATTATTAGGATTGCATAACGGCAGGAAGTAGAAAACAGGAAAATAAAATTATGTTGCTAAAGTGCCAGAAGAGCTCATGACTATTTAAATACTTCTGCACTAAATTTATATAAATATATTAGCAACATATTAAAATTCAACATTAAATGTTACTGAACAGAACAGATAATACTAAACTACCTTTAATGATTTATTTATTTTTGAGTAATTGAAGATTTAATTAGTTACTACAGTATTCAATAATAATAGTAGTGTTTACATTAATCATTGTTTAGCATACTCATCACATGATTAAAAATTATCTATTTAGCTGTGTTAACAAATAATGCTGTATTTTAATTATGCCAGTAATATTTTTATAAAAATCCAACATGAAAGCATTTTTAAAAATAAATTTCTACAACAATTCCTTTATGTCACTGCTATATATATTGAAATCAGTTAAAAAGTTTAATTTTAATATTTGTTCAATTTTGTCCATATAATTGTTAAATTAAATCATTTGATGATGAAGCATTGCTTTACTGATTTTAATAAAATACAACTTCTTTATTCATCTGACTATTGTATGTTATGTTGCTAAATTCTTATCATTTAATGAAAAGAATTTAGCTACTAAAATACATTAATTGGAAAGCTTTTGAGTTCAATATCTGAAAAATATGAAACTAATATATTTCAAAAGAAGAGACTTTTGAAAATTCAGTAAAGATGAGTTTTAATAAAGCAATTCATCAAGTAGATAGTTTCATTATTTTCAGAGTACTGATGCTCCAAATAATCCATACTTTGTTTGGTTCTGTCACTAGTCTTTTACTAATAATAAATCTTTTGTAGTTTGATATTTTCTAATTAAAACTAAGTAAATTAAAATGTTATTAAGTTTTTCTAAGCATTTTGATTCAAATAAATAATAAATGATTATTGATTAAACTAAAATTGTTCTGTTAAATTTTTAGGTGTCAGTTAAAAATTTATACTAACCATATATGAATAATTTATTTTGGATTGGTTGTTGATTTATGTATCAAACTTAATACAAACTATTTAATATAAATTTTTTACAGCAGAATACAATCAAAATAAATATCAAATTTTTAAAACAATATAAAAAGTGAATAGATTAGACTCATATTCTAGAATATTTAAAAGTAATGATCAATAATTTCTATACAGATATTAAGAAAGTTTTGATTATTATACAAACAAATAATTCATTTGACAAGTAAATAACAATTAGTATTAATAACTAACTTTTAAATTTATTTATAAAAAATAACAATATAATCAATATAAATTTCATGTTGGCTTTTTAAGCTACACAAATTATTTTCAAACAGTATTAAAACATTAATCTTAATATTAGAAAATACTAACCATGTTCTTTTAGTGTCAAAGAAAAGGACAAGATAAACTTGTTCTTCATAATTTTTCTGAAGAGCTAAAACATCATTTGGTGGGACTGGTATCGGTACTCCGTTATGAAAATAGCCCGTCTTTGGCATATCAGGATTAATTATCTAGAAAAATATTAAAACTTATCATATAACAATAAATATTAATAAACTAAATAAATAATAAAAACTATTATCTAGTACAGTGATTCTCAACTTCTTTTAATTGCAAAACCCTTTTCACCTTGATAAAAAATTTTGAATCCTGAAAACTTTTACTGAATATAAATAAAACAACTAATGAAACATAATTTAAATATACAAAAAACAAGTTAATAATGGTAAAGCAAATATTATTAATTCAAACTGGTAATATGAAGGATTAATCTTTGCAGATGATTTCATCAATGGATTTTTGGGAGTTCAACAAGTGAAAGAATTAAATGCTTTTAATTCTTTTGTGAATTGCTAAACTAAATTAAAATACAACTTTTGAAGAAAGCTGAAACATATTATATTTTAATAAACACCTGAAAATAAATTTCCTTTCTAATTACATCAAATGTAATTATTTTATAATTAATTGTAAATTATTTCCAATCTTTTAATGTATAATTCAATATACACTACTCTACAATAAAGTGGATTTGCATAAAATCTGACTACATGTCAATTTTATCCAAATCCAGTGCTTGCATGTGATCTGATAAGGTTAAATATGATATGTGAAGTGGTAATGTTGTTAGTTCTATGTGAAATTCTGACAATATGTTGAAACAAAAGGAACTTAGTGACTTTGAAAGAGGTGTTATAGTTGGTTGTCACATTAGGAGCAAGTCTATTTGTGCAATTGCGGTAGAATTATCACAGCCACAATCAACTGTTGATGATGATGTAAAGAAGTGGAAGACTACGAGAGTTGGGACACGAACTGCATATGTTGGTCATCCCCGTAAACTGACTGAATGAGATCAGCATGTCCTGAAGTGTGAGGTTCGTAAGAACCACAAGAAATGCTCCGAATCATCAACAGTGAGTTCAACAAACAGCAGGGGTTACGGTGCACCCCAATACTTTGCAAAATGAACTGCACGCCTTCAATATCCACTGATGTGTTGCTGCACACAAACCAAACATCACCCCATCAAACAAAGCTAGTAGACTTGCTTGGTGTTTGCAATGTCACAACTGGTCTGTTGACCACTGGAAAATTGTTTTTTGGAGCGACGAGTCAAGCTACCAGTCATGCTTCCAGTCGGATGAGCATGTTTGAGTTTGGAGAATGCCAGATGAATGTCTGTTACCTGAGTGCATCATTCCAACTGTCAAGTTCAGTGGTGGTGGTGGTGGTGTTCTTGTTTGGGGGTGTTTTTCTTGGTGGTTTGCAATGTTGTTCCTGGTAAATTGGACATTTATGCCTACATGAACATTTTGTACAATCAGGTTCTTCCTACACTCTGGTAATTTTATGGAATGGATGAATGTTACTTCCAGGACGACAATGCTCCATGTCATGTTGCAGCCTCTGTCAAGCAGTGGTATCAAGATATGGATGTCAACCGTCTTCCCTGGCCTGCTCAGAGTCCCAACCTAAACCCAATAGAACATTTGTGGGATGAGTTAGAGCGATGCTTATGGACCAGGGAACCAAGTCCGAAATCTACAGCAGAGCTGGCGACATTCTTGAAGCAGGAATGGGCACAAATGCCCATAGCTGTGTATCAAAATCTTGTTGAAAGTATCCCCAGAAGGGTTGCTAGTGCAATTGCAGCATGTGGGGGACCTCCTCCTATTAAAACATGTATTCTTTACCTTATGCCATCGCATCTTGCTGTCCGGTTCATTATTGTAGGGTAGTGTACACTCAACTACTCAGATTATTTCACCAAGTATTGACATATTTTCTCTATTTAAAATTTTGTTTATAGTTTCAGAAATGTCTTGATAACAAAATTTATATTTAGTAATAGGAGAGCCATCGAACACTCAAATCTAGATATATCCTACTTTGACAAGATATTCAAGTTTTCTGGTTTATAGTCTGCTCCTGAATGGAACCAATGATGTGAGAGAGATTGTTTTCAGTAACTTCGAACTACAATATTAAGAACTGTAATGTAAACTTTAGATTGATGGATATTTCTAAAATATCATTTTAAAAATTTTGTTTTTAACTTATACCAGTTATCTGGATATTTCATACAAAAATTACTTGATTACCTGGATAATTTATAATCTGAATAATCTACTTATGCTATGAGGTGTGTCATTCCAAATGGCATTTTAATCACTTTTTAATATTTTTGTAATACCTACACTATCTGATTACCATTGTAAAGAACTATCATAATAAAATATTTCTATCATTAAAAACCAAGCATACAAGATAAAACTTTACTGTAGACAATTGAATGTCATTCCAAACTGTGTCTTATCCACACTTTCGTTTAATCCAAAATTCATCTTACCTACTTAACAATACACCATTATAAATTCCTGTTTTGCATATTCTGCACCAAATTCTGCATAAAGCTATGCAGAATTTGTGTTTTAAGTTGAAATAACATTTCAGTTAGTTATTATAAGTTTTTGATATATATTTACTTTGTGTTGCTTACTAAAGATAACATTTTTAGTTATATATGTACAGAGTGTGAATTCAAGAAATAATCTTCTCAAATCTGCCAGATGAACAGCTGTTTTTCATCATTCATCAAAGACTGATCTAACTTCAGTTTCCACAATTAGGTTCTGTGCAGATTGGTGCAAGGAACAAAATCATAACAGCTCAATGAGTGCAATGTGCAGCTATTTCCTATAAGGCACCTTAAAATGTGAAGAAAGTTATCTTTCCAATTACAGGGCATTCATTCCTACCTTTGGTTTGAGTTTTTGTTCTTATTGAGAAAGAAGTATGAAAACTTCTTGTTATAGTCAATCTGACAGCAACTGAAATTATTCAGTCCTCATGCAACATTTTTCAGGCTGGGAGAATATTGTCCAGTGATGGATTGGAAGAGAGCTGCTGGCAACTACCTTAAGAAACTACAAAATTGGCATTTCAAATTTTCAGAATCCAAGAAATTTATCATCAAAAAGTAATGAGTGACTGCACTGTTAGAAGAAAGGTGTTCGGTAATTCAGATACAGGAATCAATAAAATAGTAAACATCTGGCAAATTATTTTGAAGAAGGTCAGAAAAAATTGGATTCCTTGGATCCCATCAAGATTTGCTGTCAGGTGAAGCTGTGGATATAGAGGAAAAAGATGAAGAAAGTTGTGACAGTTTACACGAATTATCTGATATTTTGAGAATTTAAGTTCTATAGCATTAATTATAAATATTACTGTCATTCTAAAACTTGCCTTATCTGTCATATAAACTTCAATATTTTCTCAATTCTCTACTGAAATTATAATCCCATTGCCTAATAGCAAATTATGTTAATTCTCTACTATTGTTTGGTTTATAAACTAATGTTAACATTGTCAAATTTAAAGCTTTAAAAGATTTTATTAAATACTGAAAAATAAGCAAAATTGGATAAGATTACTTTGGAATGACTCGTCTCATATCAAGACATTTAATTTAACAACATTAAAATAAAATATGCACAAAGAGGATTAAAATTTTTACTTACTAATGCAGGATACCATGGATATCCTCTGCATTTAGCCCAAACTAAATCTAATGGTTGAAGTGGTATGAGTTGTTGCTGTTGAACACTCCATCCAGATGATGACTTTCCACGATTCCCTAAAGTATTTAATTATCCAAACATTATAAATAATTTGTTTTTCATTTGAAAATGAGCATTAAAATTTCTTACAGTAAACACAATATATAAGTGAATTAATTAATTAATAAACATTTTTAAAATGTTCAAATAAATTATTCTTTAAATCCAAATTATTAATTATTATTTCAACTTAATTTTATTATTAATGAAACTAATTTGTTTTAAAATATCAATACTTTCAATACTATATAATCTAAATATATAAAATTGCTTGTCCTGACTGACTGACTTACTGATTCATCATCGCCCAGAGCAAACTGCTGGACCTAGAGAGATGAAATTTGGTACACAGTTAGGGTACGTCATGAAAACGCACACTAAGAAGGGATTTTTTGAAATTCCCAAGTGGGGGGAAGAGGGAGAGCATTAAGGCTTAACCGGAAGAACGGCTTCTACTGTACTATTTTAGATGCGATTTTTTGTTTTTATCTGCGTATTAGTAGGGAATGCCATGGCAATGCACAATAAGAAGGGATTTTTCGAAATTCCAACGCGGGG